GATCTTACCAGTGATAATAACCCTACAGTACGATAAACACTGGGAGAGGGCGATTTAACGACTGTAAATGTTCGGCAGACTATTTAACGTACATGAATATATAAGGAACGCTGGACTGCTCCAGCGTGTGATCAGAGGAAATTAGTAATCTGATCATCAATTTGTGATATATTTTCCCAGTTTTTCGAAACTATAGACACAAAACATCACAGACAGAGATAATTTAGCTTGACCATGATATGATTTAAACAAATCTTTTCACCTCTGTCCAGCAAAGAAAACAGCTAGTGTCCCATTCTCACACTTCTCTCACTTTGATCGACAGATTTTGATGCGGACAAACTATCCAGCCCAATATAGAATTAGCTTATATTGAAATAATTCTGAAAAAGTACCCTGGTATCAGAGAAAAATGTACAGTAAAGACGTATTTTAAGTTATAATCCTAGTAGATACAGTTGAAAGAAAAGGGAGTTCTTGGTTCCTTGTTTAGTTCCTTTAATGTTCAATTGCTATGAGAAACATTGATGCCATAATGGTAAATACAAGATAATGTTACACTGAAGAATTAATTTTTTTTCGGAGAAAATGAACTAAATCTCTATTGTCTTTGTCCAATTGTTTATATTACAGTTCAACTTCCAGTTACATCTCAAGTTTGTTTGTTCATGTTATTGAAACTTGCGTGTCATGTTTTAAACTTTTTACAGGAATGTTTATTAAACATTCAATGTTAAAAACACTAATAAAAGAAGCGAATAAATGCGATTAGTTGAAATGTTGATGTAAACGATTCCTTCTAAATGCATATAATTCAAATATGAAAATAGGTACCACATTTGCGAACACATGCAGGTTATGCGAAAGGTCTGCATGATTGTATGGGGCGACTAATTTGGGACCATTGCAGAATGATTTGTCTGCTCAGTTTTCTACATTAAGACGCGTCACTGCATTAGGGGGTCTAGCAGGTAGTCTTCAATCGCACGTATCGTATGTATTTGTTTTGGTGTCGTGCAATTTTGTGTTGTGATGTCTTGTATGATGCAATGTAAAAAGTTCATTTTCGTATATATTGTTACTTTGTTGTCAAAACGTCGAAGGATTCGAGATGACAAAAAACTTGAATCATATATCTGCTTCCGGTGACATGTCCGATTCATCTGACCAATCGTTAACACAATAATTCTACTTCCGGTGACATGTCCAGTTCATCTGACCAATCGTTAACACAACATATCTACTTCCGGTGACATGTCCAGTTTATCTGACCAATCGTTAACACAACATTTCTTCTTCCGGTGACGTTTCCAGGTCGTCTGACTGATCGATAACACAACAGTTCTTCTCGGAATGGCGTCCCCAGTTCATTTAATTGTTAAAAAAAAAAAAACATTTTTACTTCCGGTTACGACCCCATTTGTAAACACATGTCATTTCCGGTGACGTTCCCAGCCCTTGACGATCTCGCCCTCTACACAGCAGGTGGACGTGAATTCATTACAGGACAAAGCATTATCCAAATACTCCTTTAAAGCCGGAAACTCCTCGATACTGAGGCCTTCATAATGCCCACCCGCCACCACTACATGCCGAAGCCTTGGCATGAACACACAGTCCAACTCACTCACGTGTTCGCCGGCAAGATATTTACCTTTCCGGTCAGCTTTAGACTGTTCAAGGTAGTCGTTGATTGTTTTGAGTTGCCCATAAAGCTCTGACTTGCATTTTTCAGAATCGTGATGTTCCTCCTTGTTCTTCAACAATTTGCCGAGCTTTGCAAGAACGACCCCAAAGAAAGCCTTGTCCGGACCACTGTATCCTGCCAGGGGGTCGCTGCCAGGGAACTGCTCCTGAAAATGCTTCGCTATGTCAGCCGACTCGGTGAATGTCCGCTTGGTTTGGTTGTCCACCAAAACTGGTACGGTACCTTTTTCGTTGAGTTTCATAAATGATTCTGGCTTGCTTGTAGTGTCAACGAAATGTATCCTGAATTGGTCATCGGTGATTCCCAAGGATTTGGCATACATTTGTACGTAATGACAAAACGGACAGTCCCCCAGACTCTCCCCATCACTCGCGGCCTTCACGTAGAGGTCAAATCGAGCGCCGACGGGCACGTTAGTCGAGTGTTCCTGGTACATATCGTAGATTACCACTAGTTCCCTGTTAGGAAAAATAGGTAATTTTAGTACAGGTAGCAATGGAAAATTGTTTGATTCATTACAAATTGTATACGTTAGTTTATTGAAATTCTATTGATCAAAACAAAGAGGTTGACTGATAGATGGGAATGTCTTACAAGGTGCGTTTTCAAAATGACGAAATTGTTTACCATACATCTTTTTATCACCATTGTTAAAAACACACAACCGTCCCTTGGCTTTGGTTCCATAATCCCTGTTCCCTGTTTCTCTGCCGTTATTACGTTCATTACTATACTAGTTTGAAATGTTCTTTTTATACATGATTAGCTCATGCGAGTTAATACTCCGGACGTGTACAAAATGATAAGTGTATTCCTTCTTTTATACCCGTATATATCTCTCAATACCTTGGTATTCACTAGCACACTTCCTATTGAATACATAACTGATCCAATTTTCATTATATTAGGACAATTATTTAAGGTTCTGGTCTCGTGAAAAGTCAGGATTTTCTACCGACTTAACTTTTTTGAGCCATGCCCTATTTTAAAGAGTAGAATATGATTAAATATAAATTACAAAGAAAACGATATGGTTGTGTGCTCCTTTTATGGCCAAGATCGGTCAAACATGAGTTTTACGCTTACGTAATATGTGATTTTTTGGTAAAATTGTTATCATTTTGATCATAAGCTGAACCAATTCATACAAAATTTTCTAGTTGTGTTATCAGACAAATACAAATGGTCTTCAGCTTATATAAATGAGTATTAAAATACAAATTTTGTATAATTTCTAACTTTGTTACATAATGTTAATATTGAACATTCAAAACTTGTACAGCAAAAGATCAACTTGCTTCAATTGAAAATGGCGACGCAATGACAATTTCAGTGACTAAGCAAGTGTCTAAAAGGTGAAATTTTGGCGTTGCGTGGACTGTAAGAAATTCTCATTTTCAGAATGGCCGCCAAATGGGTCATGTTTTTTTTAAATTTATTAAAATGTTCTGTATATAACGGGTTTCTCCTTTTGACACATTACTCATATGTACGTTTGCTTTTAAAATTGATCACAATTTGTTAATATTTTATAAAACCCTCTTACACTAGATAATCACGAGACTTGAACATGACTTAAACCGGCCTCAGCAGTTCGTCCTTAGAAGAGATCCTCAACTTAAACCTTTGTTTTAAAACATATGACTCAAGTTACTAAAGCAACAACATTTTTTTTTTGAACGTTTACAAGGTTCAATAATGCTTTCTATGGGAAAAACTTAAGGTAACGACTGAATTACAGCAATGAGGTTTGTCAAGTGTATTCATCTAGGTCAGTGGGCGCTCAACCACATTCAGGTGTATTATAAAATGTGATTTTCGGGTGAGAAAGTAGATCCGGGATCAACTGAAATTTTGTTTATCTTCAAATCTCAGTGGTTTTTTTTTACATGTCTCGCTAAAATGTATAGAATTTATAACTGAGCATGTCTATCGGGTGTCTGGAGATCTAAGATGTTCTAGTATATATTAGAACTTATCCTGATGTGAAGAAGAGAGTAGATATTAGACTAATAAAGGCTAAGTTACCGGGTTCCTGTTTAATAAAGGAATATCTGCTTCTATAAAATAATAAACATGTGAAACGCAATGTTCTAATAATTTCGATCACTTGAAATGTCCGAGTAATGTTAGAAATTAAAACAAACTGACCTTCGTCTCCCTTAACTTGACCCTCGGAACTCTTGTACGTTAGTCCACTCTTTACCACAATCATAATATTATTTAAAGCTCACTATAGGTCCCATAAGTTTACCCCCAGACTTCGTGTCAATTAAATTTTTATTAACGTTGCGCACCCCGCTTTCGTAAGCCGTAAAGTCTAGATCTATGTGCTGATGAAAGTATCACACGTGTCTATATCGTTCCGACTATATTGATAGAATTTCGATCTTCTGTGATGGTATCTTGCTAACACAACCTACTTAAAACACCAATTACACTATACTCTAAGTATCATGACTTGACCTTGGAGTTTGGACTTCGTATTACGCGGTATTAGTCATCACTGGAATGTAGGCCTACCCATCTCCGCCTGCACATGTCTGTGTTTTCCCTGTTATTCAAGCGTAAAGAAGATCTCCCTGTCATTTCCTCCTTCCTACTTATTCGAAAGTATCCTCTTTGTACCAATCCAGTGATCATGTCAACCATCTATTTACAGTGAACGACGAAAAAGTAACAATTGTGTAATGTATTCATTATCGATGGACACACTTACCTGCTTCAGAACCGAAAATAAACTCGAGTACTAACACCGGCCTTCTTCTAAATACCGGGTCAAAGTTAAACAGACGCTTGTGATATGGGGAGTTATGGGCATGTCGGAGTCACTAAAGGAAATCATGGAGGAGTGTTCCGCTCTTTTGTCCGTTTCCTCTTTTGAATTTACAGTGTAAGATCTATATATTTTACAACCACAGGAAATATTTTCAACACTAGTAAATCATGAAAAACTCATTGCGGACACAAGATATCGAGTCTAGTAGGCTACAGGAGCGGACCAAGTTTTTCAGTTAGAGGGGCGCCGCAACAGGCGCTGGTCCACGATTTTACGAGGAGGGTGCAGGGGCTACCGCCCCTGATCAATATCAAGGAGCGAAGCCCCGCTGGGGGTTAAGGGAGCTGGAGAACTACAAGTTATATTTTGTAATAAAGACATAAAAAATGTATCTTCTTTATATTTTGATTTTTTTTTGTAAGTTATGTTTAGCGGAAGGCCAGTGTGCGACGAGTGCCTAAGGTGTGAAGCCCGTATCTTGATGAGGGTATAGTGGGGCGGCGGATATGTAGATGATGTGCTTTTTATTTTTAGCTCACCTGGTGAGCTTATGCTATACCGCAGCGTACGGCGTCCGTCGGTCGTCCGTCGTCCGTCCGTCAATTTTTCTTTTAAAACACTACTATAGTCATGAACGACTGAGCAGATTTTGACCAAATTTGGTCAGAAGCATCCTTGGGGGAAGGGGAACAAACTTTGTATAAAAGGTGGCTCTGGCCCCTCTGGGGGCTGATGGGCAGGGCCGAATAGGGGAATATAACAAATTCTTTAAAATCCTTCTTCTTCTGTAGGAATGAAAGGATGTGTTCCATATTTTGTCTGAAGCATCCTTGGATGAAGGGGAACCAATTTTGCATAAATGGTGGGTGTGGCCCCCCAGGGGCCTGAGGGCAGTGGCCCAATAGGGGAAACATAGCAAATTATTCTTTAAAATCCTTCTTATTCTGTAGGAATGAAAGGATTTGGTCCATATTTGGTGTGGAGCATCCTTGGGTAAAGGGGAATTAATTTTGTATAAACGGTCGGTGTTGCCCTCCTGAGAGCTGAGGGACGGGGCCCAATAGGGGAAATATAGCAAATTCTTTAAAAACCTTCTCCTTCTGTAGGAATGATTCGATTTGTTCCATATTTGGTCTGAAGCATCCTTGGGTGAAGGGGAACCAATTTTGTATAAACCGTGGGTCTGGCCCCCAGGGGCCTGAAGGGCGGGGCCCAATAGGGGAAACATAGCAATTTTTCTTCAAAATCCTTCTTATTCTGTAGGAATAATTCGATTTGTTCCATATTTGGTCTGAAGCATCCTTGGGTGAAGGGGAACCAATTTTGTATAAACCGTGGGTCTGGCCCCCTAGGGGCCTGAAGGGCGGGGCCCAATAGGAGAAACATAGCAAATTTTCTTCAAAATCCTTCTTCTTCTGTAGGAATGAAAGGATTTGATCCATATTTTGTGTGGAGCATCCAGCATCCTTGGGTAAAGGGGAACCAATTTTGTATAAACGGTGGGCGTGGCCCCCCTCGGACCTGAGGGGCGGGGCCAATAGGGGAAATTGAGGTAAAACCTTTATAATCCTTCTTCTTTGAGGTTTGTTCTTGCTATATCTCATATATCTCAAGTACTTGATGGATCTTTCTGAAATTTGATATGTACTTACAGCACCTACCATGGAGTGCTATATCTTTACTTCATACCAATTATTTTAAACATATATTCAGGTGAGCGATACAGGCCCTCTGGGTCTCTTGTTATTTTTTTAAGGTCTTTTTCTGTGACGTTTTGTGATTTCATCATATGTGCTCACACCGATCATGTAAAAATTAGTCATCGATTCTCTGAAACCATGATACAAGTTGGGGTCGTGCGGAGCGAGGCTAAATATCATTTTTGAGAGATTGTGATAAAAATGCAATTCAGCTAGTAACAAAGTTCAAGGTTAAAATCATTATATCACCCATCAAAATTGATCATTTTGCAAATATTGGGCGAGGGGCATGTTCTTCCTTTATGGTATGAATTTAACAGAAAATCAAAAGGATTTTGATTAAACCTTCAAATGGGTCCCTTTAATCAAAGCATAAAAGTGCAGCCAAAATAAATCAGACATAACAACTTGTTGACAGGAAGCGTATACATGTTTGGTCGGTATGACAGTTAGATGTGACGACTCTGATGTAAGACTTACACTATATACACACACACTGTGCATTGTAGCTATGGTGGTATGTCAGTGACCGATTGTCAGTTAACTTGTCCTTCGACCCGACGTTAAAACACAACAACAAAACTAGTATTTGACATCACCGTTTTAATATTTCCGTCTGTTTTTAAAATGACTCATTATAACATACATCATACAAANGGGGGAGGGGGGGGATTGAGGAGAGAGCCTCGTCCTCTACAATGATATTATACATGGATAAATTACAAGACATCGAATTCGTTATGACAATAACGATATAGAATCTTTAGCAAGTTTCGTATTCAACTTCAAAGCAAGCTTCACCATACAAACTTATGATCCTTAATATTGTACGTCTTTGAGAGAAATAAACATTCCCTTCATCTTCATTCCCCAAATATCCAAGGCCGGGTTCAGCAATTCATTTTAAATGTCTTAAATTAAGTTTTAAATAATAAGTATATTTTTTTTTTCTGGAGATACTACATTGATTATCTAATCAGGCATTCAATGACTGAGGACTTGCCTTTTATTTCAAACTCGTCATCTTGGATTGAAATGACGTCATACCAATAATTTAGAATTACATAGTTGACGTATTACACAGATGTAGTACTAAACAGAATTTTAATTATGTGCAGTTCATAAAATTCGATAAAATCAAGAGAACGTCTTTTTCCTACATATGTAGTCTAGCGTGTAACACTAAGGAATGGGTCAACTTCACATAGATGTGGTATTCCGTGAAGAAAGTCATAACTACTTAAGAAGTTTAAGTTATATATATATGTAGTTCAATAAGGCATTGAAGAATGTCTTAATTTCACATTATGTAGTTCAATATAGCATTGAAGAATGTCTAAATTTTACATTATGCAGTTCAATGTAGCATTGAAGAATGTCTTTATTATGTATGTGTAGTTCAATATATCATTGAAGAATGTCTGAATTACACATATGTAGTTCAGCAAAGTATTAGAGAATGTCTTAATTATACATATGTATTATGTAGTTCAATATAGAATTGAAGAATGTCTTTATTATGTATGTGAAGTTCAATATAGCATTGAAGAATGTCTGAATTATACATATGTAGTTCAGCAAAGCACCAGAGTATGTCTGAATTACACATATGAAGTTCAATGTAGCATTGAAGAATGTCTTAAGTATACATATGTAGATCAATATAGCATTAAAGAATGTCTGGCATTGATAAATGTCCGGCATTGAAGAATGTCTTAATTATACATGTGTAGTTCAGCAAAGTATTAGAGAATGTCTTAATTATACATGTATAGTTCAGCAAAGTATTAGAGAATGTCTTAATTATACATGTATAGTTCAGCAAAGTATTAGAGAATGTCTTAATTATACATATGTAGTTCAATGTAGCATTGAAGAATGCTTTAATTATATATATGTACTTCAATAAGGCATTGAAGAATGTCTGGCATTGAAGAATGTCCGGCATTGAAGAATGTCTTAATTATACATTTGTAGTTCAATATAGCATTGAAGAATGTCTGAATTTCACATTATGTAGTTCAATGTAGCATTGAAGAATGTCTTTATTATGTATGTGTAGTTCAATATAGCATTGAAGAATGTCTGAACTATCCATATGTAGTTCAATATAGCATTGAAGAATGTCTAAATTTCACATTATGTAGTTCAATGTAGCATTGAAGAATGTATTTATTATGTATGTGTAGTTCAATATAGCATTGAAGAATGTCTGAACTATCCATATGTAGTTCAATATAGCATTGAAGAATGTCTGAATTTCACTTTATGTGGTTCAATGTACCATTGAAGAATGTCTTTATTATGTATGTGTAGTTCAATATAGCATTGAAGAATGTCTGAATTTCACATTATGTGGTTCAATGTACCATTGAAGAATGTCTTTATTATGTATGTGTAGTTCAATATAGCATTGAAGAATGTCTGAATTATACATATGTAGCTCAATATAGCATTGAAGAATGTCCGGCATTGAAGAATGTCTTAATTATCCATGTGTATTTCAGCAAAGTATTAGAGAATGTCTTAATTATACATGTATAGTTCAGCAAAGTATTAGAGAATGTCTTAATTATACATGTATAGTTCAGCAAAGTATTAGAGAATGTCTTAATTATACATATGTAGTTCAATGTAGCATTGAAGAATGCTTTAATTATATATATGTACTTCAATAAGGCATTGAAGAATGTCTTAATCATACATGTGTAGTTTAGCAAAGCACCAGAGAATGTCTGAATTATATATTATGTAGTTCAATATAGCATTGAAGAATGTCTGAATTATACGTATGTAGTTCAATATAGCATTGAAGAATGTCTGAATTATACGTATGTAGTTCAATATAGCATTGAAGAATGTCTTTATTATGTATGTGTAGTTCAATATAGCATTGAAGAATGTCTGAATTATACATATGTAGTTCAATATAGCATTGAAGAATGTCTGAATTATACGTATGTAGTTCAATATAGCATTGAAGAATGTCTGAACTATCCATATGTAGTTCAATATAGCATTGAAGAATGTCTAAATTTCACATTATGTAGTTCAATGTAGCATTGAAGAATGTATTTATTATGTATGTGTAGTTCAATATAGCATTGAAGAATGTCTGAATTATACGTATGTAGTTCAATATAGCATTGAAGAATGTCTGAATTATACATATGTAGTTCAGCAAAGCACCAGAGTATGTCTGAATTACACATATGAAGTTCAATGTAGCATTGAACAATGTCTTAAGTATACATATGTAGATCAATATAGCATTAAAGAATGTCTGGCATTGATAAATGTCCGGCATTGAAGAATGTCTTAATTATCCATGTGTATTTCAGCAAAG